GTTCTTCTGCATATTTCTCCCAAAAATTTTCATACCTATTTCTATTCCAGTAAGTGATTTGCCAAGACTTTCTGTTTGGAAAAGCAATTAGGCTGGTCAGGTGCTCCAGCTGCACCTCCAGCATCTCAAACAGTACCTTTTCCAAGAAGTCATATCTGCTTCTCACTGATCCTGTCTAAGTTCTGTACTGTCTTGATCCACAGTTTCTGATCCTCCCTGCCATCTCTTGTCATGTTTCCTATGTCTTCCCACTATGCCACTCTTGGTGGGCTGGCATTCCAGCATGTTCCCATTGTCCTTTGTCTCTCACCCAATGTACCTTCTCCTGATGCTCCCAGTCTGTTGCCCATTCTCCTCTACTCCTGTCTTCTCTTTGGCATCATCAGTCTCATTGCCTCCTTCTTTGCTGCTGCCATTGTTGTTGCTCCTCTATTGATCCTTCCTTCACCTTTTTTCTTGTCCACTTCTCCACATTTGTCCACTCACCATCTGCCCCCAGACTTTCATTTCTACTCCTCAACTTTTTTCTACCTCATGCTTACTTGCCACCAAACATTGCCATTGTTTTGAGTTTCAGGTCTCCATTTCTCCATTCCTTATACCCCAATGCTCTATCAGTCCCTTTCTCTGCCTTTAAGGCATTGATCAGACTTTCAGTGATGATGGGAACATTTTGGGTTTTTTTCCCTTTGTCCTTAAAAAATAGTGGGCAGTGTTCCCTCCATGAGGAGCTGGCATTGGACCTGGAGGTACTGCAATACAAGGTCAACACCTAGAGGGCCAGAGCCAGCCCTGAGACTCTCCCTTTGGTGCCAAAAATGCTTGATCTTAGGCAAAAGGCTAAGATGTTGATTAGAACCTTTTTTACGGTATGTGTGGCCCTTCAAAAAAAGCAGGTGGCCGCCCCTCCAGAAGCAAATGGGCCCTGGGCCTGGAAATACCAAAACACCAGGCTGGCACCCAGAGAGAATGGAGCAAGCCTTGACACCCTGCCCCAGTGCCAAAACATGATGATGGGAACCCACCACAAAAACAGGCCAGTGCAGCTCATCTGAATAAGATATAGGATCCATCAGTGCCTATGTAGTATGAATTTTTGCTTATTAGTTATTATGCTTAAATGATAAGAGTATCTCTATGATTGTATGAACAACTAAAACTCCATTTTGTGCTTGTTCCCTCCTTGACATAAGTAGATGAACTTCGTATGCCTTGTGTACATGGGTGTCTGTATGAGAGGGTGAATGGTGAAAGAATGGTAACTATTTGCATGAAAACAGAAGAAGATTTCATTGATCATGTAAGCAATAAGGTGCCAATGTATAAGTTATCAGACAGTACACTAATTAATAGATGGCTGAAGAACTCATCTGTGATCAGGTCCAAAGAAGAAGGAATTTTGCATATCCTACCATTTGAACTACATAATGCTTCAAGAATACAATGCTTCAAGACCAACTACACAATACTTCAAGGCAAAGATCAAGATTAAGATACCAATGGAGATACCAGCTTTACTGGAATGAACTTAAGTTGAGATAACCAGAAGAAACAACCTCTAATTAAAGACTGAGCATGAAAAAACCCAATGCTGAACAAAGACTTGAAATCCCTATAAAAGTGAGATGCAGATAAGCCAAGATGGGGAATCCACTCTCTGCAACCTCATGGAGCACAGGCATGCATGCCTGTATACCCCAACTCATATCCTCAATAAGCCTGGACCCAGCCATCCAGTGCTAATATTGAGTAACAGCTGCTGGTAACTATAACAACTTACTGAAGTGATTTTGTCTATATGCCTGTGTATGTCTGTTTGTATGACCGGTGTGTCCAAGCTCATGTATCTGTTTCATGTAATCAATAAACATGGCATTTTGCCTTATCCCCTTTTTAAGGTCTCACTATTAATTTGAGCTATTGGCAATTTTAAGTAACACCTACTCTTTTTCAAGTCATGGTGAGTTACTACATCTAATACATTTTTAGTTCCTATTCACTCCCACAGCTATGCAGTTCCTTTCTTTTTCGTTTCCAATGAGTCCTGTTTCTTCATGAACCTTAAAAGATATCTGGCAAACAGCACCAAAATTCTGTGTAGCTGAGAGGGTCCGTCATCTCTTTCAGCCTGTCTCATGTTATTAGTATGGCCCCACCCTGTATGGGGTGGAGATAGACAAGACGGCCCTGTGCCTCATCTGCATGTAAATTTTTGGAGAGTCCCAGGACTCATGACAAGAACACCCAGTTCCAGTCATGAGCGGGGGGGCTAATTAGCATATGGCTCCATTGTGGAGGGGATCTGAAGTACACACACATACTGAGCTGTGCTGAGCTGGGGGGTCAGCATGGCCTGAGACACGGTTGATTTTGCTGGGGCCCAATGAACTATATAAGTCATGAGCCTTTTGGGTCTGGACTGCCATGCACAGTTTGTATTATATATACATAGGTTCAAAAGTACTGCTTAAACGTGTTTATGGAGTACCTGTGCTGAAATTTGTAGCAGTCAGGGTTGGGGCCAGAATCAGACTCACAGCAGTCTCCTGATCCCCTCTGCAGCTTCTGCCCCCTCTCTGTCCCTTCCCCACTCCTTATTGTCATGTGCAGCTCACTTCCACCTTGTCCTCCAGGAGAACCTGAGCAGAGTCTGACAGTAAGGGAGCGGGGGGGTGCAGGGCAGGAAAATGGTAAGAGGAAGAAGTGAGAAGAGGGCAAAGGGCAAGGGGGCCACCTGCCCTCCCAGGGCCCCACCAGTATTTTCCTTCAGGGAAACAAATTCAAGACAACCTTCCAATAATTAGATTCTACACCTGGAAAATTATAACAATTTAATAATTTTTTCATATATAGTATCGAATTATTGGGGGAGTCATCTTACATTTGAGTAAATAAAGTAGTAGCATAAAGTAATAGAGAAAATTTACTGATATACAGTAAAATCTCCAGTAGCTGGCACCTTATAAGCCAGCATGCTCTGTTAACCGGTATGCCAGCTTGTAAGGTAAAATGAAACCAGAAGTGCCCACTGTGGCACTTCCAGTTTCTCTGAGCCCCCACGACCCAAGGCAAAGCAGCCTGTGCTGCCAAGCCCCCATGGCCCAGGGCATAGCAGGCTGCGCAGGGTCCGCCTCCCTGTCCCATGGCGATGCCTGTTTGGGCCACTCAATTAACTGGCATATTTTTTATCCAGCATCCCCCATCCCACATTCCCAGATTGCATACACACACACACACACTCTGTATATACTGTGTGTGTGGGTGTGTGTGTGTGTGTGTATACACACACACACAAACACCCACACACACACGTGCGCGCACACACACACACACAGTAAATATATATTGTATATATACAAGATACATTTTTACATTTAATGTATGTGTGTATGTGTGTGTGTGTGTATATATATATATATACACACGGTTAACTGAATTTGAAACCAAAGTAGCTTCAAATTAAACTGCCTCACCTTCCCAGTTTTCTTAAGGTTATTAAGAAATCATATGATAGAATGGTATACAACAACCTTGTGAAGAGAAGGTAGTGTAGAACTCTCCATGTGCTACTATAGCAATTGAAGTAATTTGGTCTAACAACCCCTTGATTTAATCTTGCAGGGGCTGAAGCATTGCATTTTCAGTGATTAGATACTAAAGAATGCACTTTCTGAAATGACAGTGCTGTGTTTGGGGAGCACTAACTATTCCATCTTTAATGCTACAGCACACGCCATATCTTAGTATGCTCTCTTTCCATTGTCTAGCACCACTGGAGGTGTTATGCATCACAAACTGTTTAACACTTTCAGGTTGACTTCAACAGCTCCTTGCATTCTCCCTCCCCAATATGCCTCTTCTTCATTGCCAAGAGTGTTAACATATATCATCTGCATGCATTGTATTTTAAACTCCTTACAGTCAGTAAGAAGGAGAATGTGCCAACGCACTTTGCTCTTCCTGCTGGGAAATGTGTTTCATAAAACTACTGTACATACTATAAAACAGATGTAAGATTTATAATAGGTTTCTGTGCAGTTGAGATAGAGAATAAAGCTTATTATTAAATTTAACCTTGTACCACTGAGCTTTGTAGCAAGGACATTTGGCCAACGTGGTAGAAATGTCAAACACCTAACTGTGGCACAAAATTATATTCTCCCTTGTTCTATTCATTTTATTTTATGAACTCTAGCTTGGTACAAACCAAAGGTAATATATTTACTTCTTTAACACATCAGCTTCCATTGTATTTTACAGTTCAACATTCATTCAAAAGTAGAAGCAACTGGCTGGGGTTTGCAGAATATGACAAACTTTTATCAGTTTGCAGTTGGAGTCTTATCATGTGTGGGAAAAATGTATTCATTTCTTATAGAAGCTCCAACCCATTTAAGTGGAAGGCACCTTAATTTCCCTTCCTGAAGAGCTCCTTTAACTAGTCTCCCAATTATTCGTTTAATAGGGATTCACCACCTTTCTGTGAAAGTCTCAATTGGGAAACAGAAGGTATTTGCTGACAGGTCTATTTTTTCATGGGTCTATTTTTTAAATAAGCTTTACTTGCTTTCTTTCCCCTCCCCCTGCCACAAGGACATCATGGAAATGAATACACAGACTTTTTCTTTTTCCTTATCCTTTTTTATCCACAATAAAGAATCAATCTTAGATTAGATTTTATTTTATTTTCTTTTTTTAAAGAATTTTTCCTCTCCTTTTATTCTTCTGACATAGCTGTTTGTAAATGTTTATGCAATGTCAAAATAGAAGTAGAGCTAAGGAAAACACACAAGTTGAATTCTGGTTTAATTTATTGCAGTTAAGTTAATCCATTGACATCAGTGATATATCTACGGATTTATAGTGGTGTAACAGAGATCAGAATCCAGCCTTGTGTCTCTGTGAACCTGCAGTGAGATTTCTCTTTTAAAATTATCCAAATGAAAGAAAATCTGCTTATGGGTGAAAACTGTAATCATCTGTAAAATCTCTTCTTTCAGCTCTGATGAAGCCTTCAGCAAAGTCAATTTAAATTATCGCACGGAAAATGGGTTGTCTCTTCTTCATTTATGTTGTATTTGTGGGGGTAAGTATTTGAACCTTGATACACCTTAAACCTGTTATTTACATGGTTAGTCATTTGTTCTTTTTAATAACCTACAGAAACATTATAGTTTTAATCATGTTGCCGCCTTTGCATTATCCTTGTTGATGCTCAGGTAAGCTATCTAATATCTATAAAACCTTGCTTTAAAATTTCCTGATGAGCTGACTGGTATCCAATTAAACTGACCCCCACTTCAACTCATTCTTCATTTTAGCAAAAGTTCCAGTTGCCTCAGATGCATGTTTAAATACAGATATATAATGAGCTTAAAATGTTTTGCTGTATTTATTTGGTAAAAGCAGTAGAATCATCACATAGTATCCCTATATAAAAATATATGCATTATAGATTAATATGAAGATGAGTAATTCATACTATTTTTTCCACAAACACATTTTGGGGTGTAATTGATATCTTGGTGACATATTTGGTGATTTAAAAAAAAAAAAATCTATTCTTACCAAAAACATAACCTGTTCAGATTCTTGCAAATAATTACCTGGGAGACACATAATCACTGTGCAAAAGTTAATCAGGGCCATCCATACAAACCCATACTTTTGGTGACATTTTCAACTGTGATGCACACTGCTGATATCTTGCCCACATGGTGAGTCATCAGTGCATTCACACACTTCACACTTGTCCCACAATATTCAACAGAGGTCAACTCAGTACTGAGAATCCAATGGAATTTTACCATAAGATTTTGATTCTGCAAGATATGAAAGAATGTGTTTAAATGCTCCCCTGAATCTGAGACCAGATGCACAATCAGTAAGGAGAAGATCCTGAACCATTGAAATCATTGGATTTTTTTTTGATTAACCTCAGTTGATAGAGAAATGAGATATAAGAAAATACCAGGATTACCCTAGGTCAGCAGTTCCCAGACTGTGGTAGGCATAGTACCAGTGGCATGCAGATGACCTGGGAGTGGTACACAGAAGTCCAGGGGGAGGAGCTGCACACACCCAGAGCCCAGCAGCAGCTTGCTGCATGTAATCTGCTGCACATGGCCAGGAACACAGCACTACGTGTGGAGCAGCACCCAGGAGGTAAGTGTGTTGGAGGTCGAGGCCCCCACAGTGAGAGAGGGAGTGGGGCAGAGGCAGAGGCTGGAGTGAATGGGGCCTTGGGGTGGGTGGTGGGATGGTTAGAGCCTGGGCGGTTCATTGAGGGGCATGGAGGGGGCTCCCAACCATTGTGCACACCCCGGTGGATGCATGTGGGGCATGTGCCCCCTGCATCTGTGCACAGGTTGGAGGCGGGCTGCCCTCTGCATGCTGGGCTCTACACTGTGCTGCTGCTGCCATCTCAGGAGTTTTGTGCAGAGTCCAGCACGCAGCATTTCCCCCATGCTTCCATGGGGCTATGTGCAATGGTGGGGAGCCATGCCTCCCTCAGCACCCCTGGGCTCCATCCCACAACCTGACCCGGCCCCAGGGTCCCATTCCCCCTGCCCCTGCCCCACTTCCTCCCTCACTGTGGGAACCTTGATCAGCTCCTCTCCCCCTGCCTCTCCCCCTCCACAGATTTACCTGGTGAGCAATGTGCATGTTTGTCTGCATGTGTCTGTCCCTCCCAAGCCACAGCCCCCCAGCCCTGCTGCTGCCCCTCACTCCTGACCCACAGTACCCAGCATCCTGCCAGGGTGTGCAGGGACCCCCACCCCTCCTTGGGTTCCAAACTCCACACACACCCGCACAGCTCCCCCCTTCACAAATTCCCCCCCACACAAACCCCACTCCCACCCGCAACCATAAAACCCCCACCCCCATCCATACCTACATAATTTTGAGTTTTTCTGCACATAATTTTGATTTTTTAGCTGCGCAATTGAAATCACAATTGTGACTAATTTTTTTAATCACGCAACTAGTCACAATCAATTTTTTAAACTGTTTTATATGGCTACCATAACTGATAAAACAATGTTTTATGATTACTAAAGGTTTTGATGTTGTTTTAATACATAGCGTGTTACCTATGTGTATGAAAAATGTGCTGCTGGTACTTAAGGCTGTATCGTTTTAAATTGGTGGTGTGCAGTCTGTCACAGTTTGGGAACTGCTGCCCTGGGTGGTATTAGAATAATCTAATGACTTTTTTAGAACATGAAAAAAATGGTTCATTAAGAAAACACACAAGGTGAGCTACCTTTTGGTAACATTGCATGGAAGTACTAAAAGAAGGAAGAAGGCATGTAGAGTCATTTTTTTCCTATTTCTATCATAGCTGTATGGGAGGCAGCTATAATTTGGATATCAGCATTTAAAAGAAGTACCTATGCTAGGATTATCAGTATTCCGATAAGCTACTACTCTGCTAACAATATGCTGAAGTGCTGAGTAGAGTATCAACTTTGAACAGATAAAATGATGTGTCCAGGAAACCTGACATGGTTCTGGAGGGTTTTTAAGCTTAGAGACTTCTTTGTTATGTAGTCTCAATGCTAAAAGGTGAGCATTTATTCTTTAGCACTGCATATATCTCTGATCAGTCCTTTCCAAGAGATGTGAACACGCAAGCAAATGGATGGTCAGAGCTACAAATGAATCGCTGAATGGCTATATTGTGTCTTATAGTCCCTGGGACATGAGGGGGTGGAGAGGAAGGGCAGGTGCCATCCCACAGAAGTCTTATCCCATTCATCCCGCATTTACAGCGGCTGGCAAATCAGGAGGTTCTAGATGACAGCTACATTTTCCCTCCATTTTAATATCCTAGCAGAAGCCATCAGACTCTAATCCAGTGGTTCTCAACTTTTTAAAACTCAAGACACCCCTTGGATAGATTTGAGGTACCCCTCAGAAAAGACAGCCCTCAGAAAATCTTGGGGCACCCAATTTTTGAGGCACCCCTCAGAAAATTTTAATTTTCAATTTCTTTTATTACAGAAAAATAATAAGCAATCTTCTGTTGCAGAGAACTCAGAAAGACCACAGCAAGGATGAACATTAATAACACTACAGATCCTATTTAAAATCTCTGGGTTTAAAGAATGAATCTTGTTTGCACACCTAAAAATGCTAACATTGTGTGGCACTGTGTGGCACCCTTGAAAGGAACTCAAGTAACCCCCTGGGTGCTGTGGCACCCTGACTGAGAACTAAAACACTAGCCCTTTACTTCTACACTCGAATAACAGTATCCGTGACAAAAACAGCTATTCATTGTATTTTGAACACTGGAAATGTAGATAAGAATGTACTGAGGTCTGATCTCAGTAACAAGAAACTGACAAATTTGTAGCTGTATTCTAAGTGTGTAGTTACCATAGGAAGATTTTTTTCTCATTTACTTCATTTGTATGGTCTTTTCAGTAAATTACTTCTCTCTTCAATTTTAATTCTAAAGGTAACAAATCACATATCCGAACTCTTATGCTAAAAGGGTTGCGCCCATCCAGGTTAACAAGAAATGGATTTACAGCTCTACATTTGGCAGCTTACAAGGTAAGTTATTTTAAATTAAATTGATAAAAAGAAATCAGAAGCCAGAAGCTTTAATAGTTTGCTCTCTCTAGTCATTAATCCTAATGAAAATCTCTATGCCTTGAGTACAGGTCATAAGAAAATTACCTATAAAGTGTTGCTACACAAGAAAATACTATACACATTTCAGACCACCTTCCATGATATGATGCCAATCTGTTTTAGAAACACTGAGTAATTAATTCTCACAATACAGAAGTATTGTAAAATAGAGAAGTATTACTGAGATTATGGTCGGAGAAAGAGGTACTTTTACAAGAGATGTAAATGTGTTAATCATAGTATAAATGGCAAGGGCGCCACATGTACATCTAATTTAAGAAGCTATAAAATGGCAAACCAGCCATTACAATTTTCTACACATAAAAATGCAATGTAGAACATGTTTATAGCTGGCTTGTATGGTGCACTAAATTGAACACGTGGCAGGTTCAGGACTGACAATCTTGTCAATTGTCAGCTCTAGCCATGGACTACACTGGGGTCTCAAACCAGTGCAAGTGTAGTCCCGGGCTGGGACAGACAATTAACTGATTGTCAGCCTGGCCCCAGACCTGCAGGCATCTGGCTTTCACCTTACCACTGCTGGGGAATCTGGAATCTGACTGGGATCTGCTCCCCTATCCCAACAATCGTGCCTCCTGCCATGCAAGTGTCGAATGACATGAGACTCAGTTGTTGGGATTGGCATCCGATCCTCAATCTCAAAATTGTGCTTCCTGCCATACACGTGTATACACTTGATGTGAGAGGGTAAGGCTCAGATCCACAAAAGAAGTGTGTGATTAAAGTGACATTTAGGTGCTTAAATTCCATCTAAGTTGAAGAATGCTATCTTCAAAATCCCCGTCAAACTCTGTAGGTGTTTAAAATTCAAAGGCAGTTCAGCATTTGTACATGCCCTGAATTCCCCAGTTCAGCATCTGTCTCACACTGAAGCCTGATCAGGACCGATATCCTTTACCTATGTCCCCTGAAGGACCTAAACTGCTAAGTAATCTTGGAACATTCCTAGCATAGGCATTTCATGAAACACACGGTCATTTTTATCCAAAACCAGAGTTGCCTTCTTGCAGCTCAGAATTAGGTGCCTACCCCCATTGCTGAAGCATTTTCCATTTCCTACTCAATGGGCACATCTACATGTGCATATTTATGTGACACAATAAACTCTAGTGCTTACACACATGTTTGGGACTGTAGCTGATTGAGCCAAGTCAGAGCAGCCCCAGTTGGCAGAGGGTGTAGGGGGCTGCTGCTCCAACCCAGCTCACTGTGCTGTGGAATGACTGGCTAAGGCACGAGGGTGCTCCCACCCGCAACCATAAAGCAGCCCCCACACTGCAAGCAGCCCCCACACTGAAACGCACTCATGCCCCAGCCAGTTGCATCAGTGTTTACAGGTGTGGTGCAGCTGAGTATAAAACTCCTCAGCAGGATAGTACTTGTATTTACAGGTAGTATCCTTTTACAGTGTTTATTAATTTACTCCAGCCTAATAGCCCTGCACACGTAGACACCAAGTTGTTTACTGCCGAGCTAATTAGCCGACTGCAGCAAATGTCCCATGTAGAGGTGTCCAATAAGTTGGTGGTTATAGATTCCATTCTTTGGCATCTTCCACCGGTGGAGTATTTAGGGGGATCTTTCCCCCAACTCGGGACTGCGGATTCCACTCTGGGATTAAGGTGCCTAACAGTTAGGTACTGTGAAGGTCAGCATTATGCCATAAACATCCCTTTGTGATATTACCATAAGTTACTTGTTCCAAGTCATTCAGGAGCCGTATTGGCAGAGCTGGAATTGAGAACATCTAACATAGGCTTATGGTTAAAATATAGAAAGTTATCTTTTCTCACCTAATTATTGTATTATGCCCATTTGCTATATCTTTGCTTATTTCTGTAATTCTTATGTTAGTTTAATTTTATGACTCCTGAGAACAATTACATCCTACTATGCCAACCAAAATAATGATAATGATAATCAAATCTTATGCTACAGCACATTTTGTTTTCTTCCTCTCAAGTAGTGTCGAGTGAATAATTTACAATCTTTTATCTAAAAACATCCTTTTATTTCTTAAATAAGAATAATTTGCATAAATATTCTGCATTCTTGAATATATTCATTAATTGGGAGTATTCTTTAAAATTTCTTTAATAAATCTTGCTTTGTCTGGTCATAATCTTCAAAATGCACTGGGAAGCCAATGAAACTTTATTTTTTACATAAAATTTAGCATATCCTTAAGTGCTCTGCTGAACTGGGACCCCATATAATCATACAAATCACATGGTGTATTTTTCTGTACCATGATTAGATTGCAGAAAGCTAAGCAAAACATTGCAAATTGTGCTTTTGGGATAAATGTATAATCTGAAACTTCTTTACAAAATAGTTAACATTTTAAGGCTCCAGGACTACCAGCAGTTATCAAATTGGAACATCTGTTTTATTACAAGTTATTTTCAAAGCAAAGTATAGGGAAATAGAGAAAAATCTTAGACACCGTGATTTGGAAGGTGTTGATAAAGGATGACTTTTTAATGACATTCACTGACTTCATTTGGGCTGTAGCCAGATTAACTTGTGAGATTTGATGGGATCAAAGCAGAACTAAGAATTAAGAAGATGGGACTAAGCTATCACTTGGAAGGGATCTCTCTAAGGAACACCCAGCTTAGGTTATCTTTTTTCAGGTTTTATTTTTAGAATTAAATTTGGCAGGGAGGTTGGTTTAAAATAATATTGTATCTGTGAGCCTCATGCAAAAGTAAATCATTTCTCTAAGGTACTGAAAAAAAATATATTTTTAACATGAGCAAAGTTACATGCACCAGGAGTTGTTTTCTTCAGAGCTCTGTCTATAATAGTGATTAATTTATGACCTATACCAATCTTTATATGCAACCTAGGAGGAGGGGCTGTATTGATAATAATAGCTCAAGTACCTCCTGTGCTGTTGTGTTGTGTGTACTGCTACTGGATATAGAATTGTCATTTAAAGACATTTCAACTTCAGGCTGGGCTGACAATCAGAGCCAGAACAGCAGTAGGTTTAAATCATGATAGTTTCTGTGGAGTTAACTGAGAAGCCAGCTCAGTATATGGGCACATGTAGTTTTGCACTTAAAACAGCTTGGGAAATAGATGTCCTGACTTCTATTTTTGGTCTTCCATCGACCCCAGGCAAACTGCTTTATATTTTTGTGCTGAAGTTTGCCCAGTTGTTAACTGAGTTTAAAAATATCTGCCTTGCCTGGACATTGTGACTCTCAATAGACTATGTATAATGTGAACTTAAAAGTCTCAAGAAAATTACATTTAGTATTATTACTCTGATCTCCATCACCATTGCTATACCTCAGATAAGAAATAACAGAACTTTAGCACAATATATTGTCAACATGGAGACCTAGGCTAAATAATAAGCTCACAAATCTGATATTCAGCACATAGTTCTGTGTAGGTGTGGGATTTCCTTCATAGAATGTCCTTCTATGCTTGACACTAATGCTTCTGACATTTAAAACAGGCCGTGCAAGCATTTAAAATATTTTTGTGGCTGAGTGATATGTAAACATATAAAATCAGAAAAAGAAACAGCTTTGCAAAAGTTTATTCCAAAAAAAAATAACACTTTATCTGTGGACCTTTCAGGACAATGCAGAACTTTTAACAGCACTGATGCATGGTGGAGCTGATATTCAGCAAGTTGGATATGGAGCACTTACTGCCCTTCATATTGCTACAATAGCTGGTCATCATGAGGTATGTTTTTCCTTTTGTATCTAGAAAAAGATGAAAGTGAACGACACATTTAGCTCAATTTTCTTGTAGAATGTTACTGGTTGAAAGATAGACATAATAGCATATCATTAGCTCAATAAAATTAAGCTTCTGGCACTTTGGAACACCTTTGAAAAAGGTGATTAGGATTTAAAAATGGTTTCTGGATGTATGTTTTTATGTAGAATATACACCTATGTATTTATGCTATGGGTATCTATAAAGCTCCTACCCTTTATATAAAATGTTGTTAAAGTCTTGTTGATAATTAGTGCCATTCCTTTTTTATATTTAAACAGTTTAATAATAGTTTGTAGTAAAATATAATCATATATAAGCTCAGGTAGACACTGTCTCCTCCCAGGTGTATTGTGGAGGGGGCCTCTGAGGCACTCATATCTCATATCCTCTCCCCTCAGACTGGAAGGTGGTGGTAACTACTCAGAAATGAGGCAAAGATTCCCAGCTTAGAGGTGTATTACCTCTCTTGAGACTGTCCTCTAGGGATCCAAGGGACGGAACATCTTACTTATATTGCTCTGGCAATGACATACTCAGTTTAATTTATTTTAAAAATCTTCAAGTATTTAATATTACAGGTGCAGGATTACCTTTATAAGGGAGTTTGCAATCGCAAGCATAGTAAGTGCACAGTTACTTACATTCTCAATCCCTTTGGCTAAATCAGGTAAGCAAAGTGGTTGTCCTCTGTTCAGATCGAATGTATTGACTGATTAATTTATGAAAACAAAAACTTCAAGTTTCCTTAAATAGGGCAGAGTAGGCAAGGGTTGGAAAACAAAAGAGCAAAATAGAACAGCTTTCAAAGGTAGAGCAAGTCCAAGATGGTGCTCAGAAGAGAGTATTGCCAGAGCTTGTTGCTTCTATAGTTCCAAATATAATTAGCCAATTTTGTCACACTTTCCAAGTGTTAGTGCTCTGATTTTTGGTGATACTTGCAACGAAGGGTAAGTTATAGATAGTTTCAATTTTAGCATTGTAGCTTTTTGTTTGATGTGGTTTCAGTTAGTTCATGAAGTTTAGCTGACCTATACTACCTTCTGTATATAAAGATGTCAACACTTCAGAGCTCCAGAGCCATTGGAAATCTGGGAATTTCACATTTCTAGTCATTAAAGGCCCTGAAATACTAAACTGTGTAACTGATACTTTTACACATAGTAAAGCTGTCATTGGTACAGGAATGGATCTGACCTGGATTTGAGGCAAATAAGACACTAAGGGTGTGTCCAGGCGAGCGTGCATGTGCCTGTTCCAGCATGTCAAACCAGTTTGAAACACCACAAGAGGCACGCTGAGAATGAAAAAATGTTCCCTGTACTGCATATTTGCTGCACAGGCTCCAAATTTGATACCTGGATTTCAGGTATCAAAAAAAATATATCCATGGGGAAAAAAGTGGGGCAAGGCATAGTCCAGGACCATGCCCTGAGGCAACCTGGAGGTGGGTTCTTCAGAAAGATGCTCTGGTATCCAGCCAGAGTGTCTCTATGGTGCTTCTGTTGCCCCAGCACGTGCCCTTAGCATGCAAGGTACATGGAAGCAGGGCAAGGCTGTGGTGTGACACAGCCCCGGGTACTGTCCCAGGTAAGCAGGGACTGAGTGGCAGGGGGGGTTAGGGGGCTGTGTGGTTTATGAAGGGGTTTGTAGGTGTGGGATTGGGGAGTGGTGGAGGGGTGGGGGTTTGTGGGGTGTGTGGAAAGTGGCAGGGAATGTGGAGGGATGTGGGGTTTGTAGGGGGACTTGAGGGTAAGGCAGCAATGCACAGCCATGGGGCTGTGCCATGGCCTGCTTGTAGGCACAGTCCCACAGCCACACATCAGTGGCCTATGTAAAATTAAGGAGGGGGCAGAGGCAAGAAGGAAGTAAAAGCCACTATTATTTTTAGTTGGAAAAAAAGAGAGAAACTTCCTCCATTTCAAGAGAAAGTTTCATGGGATCCACTTTTTCTGTTACACCTACCTGTCATGACCCAAAGGCATGATTTTGTGTGTGCTTCGGCACCAGAATTATCCCCGCCAAGTTGCAGCTTCATTGCACGGGAGAGTTTCCTGTTACAGAGGAAAACCCCGGTGCAGGGACAAGTTTCCCGCCTTTTCTGCAGCTTCTTTTGCAGAGTGCATTGCTCATGTTGCGAGAGGAATGCACGGTGCAAAAGAGTTCCCGCCACCGGTATGAAAATTCGTTCCCCGTGATTGGCTAGTGCTAAATTATTCACACGTGGCGGCTAACGATTGGCCTGTTAGCCGTATAAGAGGCTTGAGCAGTTTCCGCCCAAGCCGAAGAGGACTCCACATCCATCTCGTGGGGACTCTGGGTACATGGCAGGGGAGTGGGAACCCGGTGTGAGATCCAGAGGAGCTTGGCGACCTGATCCATCGCCCACCTCTTCCCGTCTTCAATCACAAATTTTATAAGACGTATCTACGATTCTCATTTTGGTGGCTCGTTCACCCAGAGCATCCGGAGCTCTGCACCGTGGAGCCTAGCAACCTCCACGAGACCGTCTGTGTTGTCTGTCTGTAACCGCAACTCAAGCAAGTTTTCCAGCCTGCACCACTGCCATCTCGGTGTAAGTAAACAGTCTTTAAAACTACCGCTAAGCGTTTGTGCCTAATTCCAGCTCGACGGCCTTCCCTCTCCGACCTGGCGTGCCCGGGCTGCTGGCCACAGCCTGCGTGCAGCATGGAAAAGGGCTCGGGTCGCTCCCGGCCCACACACTACCCAAATGGCTGGGGCAGGGTGCTAAAAGACATTTGATGAAAGTTGTTACTACTTTACTTAGGGAGATATATTACTTTCCCCAACCTCCTCACCCTTTGTTTCTTTTGCTTGTCTCCTTACATTGTAAAGTGGATTATCTAAGGTATTTAGGTTTTAAAAAATGCAGATAGGCACCTAGTGAGATTTTCAGAAACAACTGTAAATCCCATTGAAATAAGCTGAAGACAGTCACTTGACCTGCTCAAATGCTTCTAAGCACACCTATGCCCATCCTTAAACACCTAAGTGCCTTTGAAAATTTGGCTCTGCATGTCTAACTTTGGGTATATGCAGCACTTAGCATAATGGGCTTTGATTCTCTTGGGATCTCCAAACATCCTCCTCCTCCTCGTCCTCATCATCATCATCGTCATCATCATCATCATTATTATTATCTTGTCATGGGATGGTACAAATTGCATGTCACAAAACAAGTCCCAAGCTCTGTACAATTTCATACTCTGGTTGCAACCTATAGGATCAGAGCTGTCAAAGGCTGCCTACTAGGTGGGCTTAACATTAACGCACCCTAGTCACTTTCTCCCCTGCAAAGTTTAAGCTGTGTTGAATACCTAATCTCCCATGCCTCCTACGTTGGTATTGACAAGCAAGGTGTTTTGTGGTGTTGCAACCTTCTTTTACTACTTTAGTAAAAGGCATGGGCCAGCAAGGGCCAATGTAGACTTTGATTATGGCTCCCTGGCTTTGCATCCTCCAGATCAGTGGTGACCAACTGTTTTGGTACCTGTGCCACAAATTATTCCTGCACCCTTCCCAAGTGGCACGCTGATCCCCTTCATCTCCCTGGCCTGCTACTCTGCTTTCTGCTCCCAGCCCTGTGCTCCCTATCCAACCGGCTTCTCTGCTTTCTGTTTCCTGCCTTATCTACCACTGTGCTGCCTGTCCCCTCCCTGATCCGCTGTGTACCCCATAAAGAGGCTGCCCCTGCCACTTGTGGCACCCAATCCTGGCTGGCCAATCCTGCTCCAGATAGTTAAAAGGGCACGTACAACATGAGAATAGCTCCAAAGGTTATTTTAGCACTGATTGATAGGGAGTTAGCAATAGAAATCATGAAGATAAGTTATACTAAAGCCTGACATTACCTCTACAATCTCTGTAGATGTGACAGAGTGAAAAAAGAATAAAGCACTTTACAGTTGGTCACACAAGAAAACTCAATTAAAAAGCTGTTATTCTTCAATGTTTCAGTCAGCAATTCCAACAGTTATCAGGGGACAAATCAATTTGCAGCATCTGTAGGCAGCTGTTTAAGTCTGTGAATGGAGACGCATGTTAATAGAGCAAGACTGACATTAAATACTTAGTTTCAAAGTTGGCATTTCAGGTGGGGAGGTTTCACCAGGTGTGAAGGAAGGATTGTTTTTGGTCTTCATTTTGTAGCATTGCATTCTTAAGCTTGTAAGGCATCATATCATTCCCTTCATTAGTCAAGTAAGTTTAATTTTGCTCAATGTAAATGTCTTCTGCTCCGAAAAAGAACATCCATGTAAAATGTAAAAATTATAGGTAATTGTTTTGTGCAGGAATAATAGTAGTCATGTTAAGAGTAGTCTTAAAACTTTTATGATCTTTGTATCTTGAATAGAGCATACTCATGTGTGAAAACTGTATTGTTTGGGAACAATCTCATATACAGAATGGCATTTTGTCTTGCTGGGGACATCAAGTCATTTACGGATTTGGCTACTTTCATTAATCTTCTTGAGCATATAATGTGTAACCTATAGGATGCCATCTGAATTTTAAAAAGTTTCTCTCTTTTGAAAAGTAGACTGCATATAAAATCAGACTTTCTGATTCATAGCAAAGAGTTTGTCATTATGCCGGATGTAAGATTCAGTTATTTATAGCTTGGTTGTTTTTTTTTTTAGTGAGGGTTATTCATAGTTGATACTTTGCCAAGTAAACCTATCATAGAATATCCTTTCTAGCATATCGGTGCCCCAATATTGCCCAGAGATTTCCTATTATGACAGTCTGTATCCATATACAGCTACCTTGACTAGCCTGGATCTCCATGCAGGATGAGGGTCATGTTTTGCTAGATAGTCTCATAATCAAACCTTTTTTATGGACTTGGGGTGGGCAGATCTGCACATATATCTACTTGAAGCATTGTCCTTGTCATATCAGCACTACTGACTACCTTGTCACTAGTCTTTAAGACTCTGACA